GGATTTTTTTTTCTGAGAGGGAGGGCCCGCTCCTGTGGAGCCACATCCGAACGGGAGTCATGGGCGTCCGTGTTAGATTATTATCGTAATTCCAGCTGCTTCATGTTCTATATACAGCATGCTTACATTAACCGAGATGCTATTCTACTCCTTTAATTCCTTATTACAAGAAGAAGTTTAATTTCCTAGCTATGTTTAGTTTCTTTTCTCGCCTTTAATGTCGATTTTGCTTTTTATGCAGAAGTCAGGTTTTGTTATCCGCTACTCGGCCGGGAGTTTCATAGAAGGGCGAGCACGATGGTATGACCGTGGATTGGATGCAATGACGATGGAGGCCCTTGCTTGTAGAGATGGCTTGGCTGCTGCCAGGAACCGGGTAGCATCGAGACTGCTTCTTGAAACTGTTTGTCAGGAGTTGGCCAACCTGTGGGCATGGGGGCTTCCAAATATCTTACCTGGCATCGGTCTTTTTTTTTGCGAGACCCCAGACGCAGCGCTCATACGTGAGCGCACACTTACCCCTACGAACGCACGCACGCACACCCTATCCTTATGAGCACCTCCGAAGAACCGAGTTGGACCGGCAAATATCGAGATTGACGAAGTCACCACAGGCGCCTCGCTGTCGACGGGCACGTCGTCTACCACTGAAAGAATAGCGTTGTTAAAACCTAGAATAAATCTAGAAAAATGCGAGCACCCGTATTAAGTCGAGAACTTAAACCCGGGTGGGCAGCTTCTACCATAAGGAACCCAACCAGCTGAGCTACGCTCAGTTCGCCCTGACATCGGTCTTCGGAGATTAGGGAGCTTAGCTTGTGCTTTACTGATTTTAATTTGGTGTATGCCAATCGATCTTGTAACAGTGCCGCCCATTTGCTAGCAAAACAAGTCACGGGTGATATTAGGTTGGTTGAGTGGCATGTATCCCCAACTTGCATCAATCACCTGATGACTGAAGAATGTAACCTTGCTCCTCCTTGACGAATGAATGAAAGTCTGAATCGTAAAAAAAAAAATCAAGAGAAAAATAATTAAAAGATGCAGCCAACTTAACCAAGCTGCAAATCACGTGTGACCCGGCAGAGCTCAAACATGGTTTGGCATAATCAATGAGCCCGATGGATATATGGCCCAATGGATATTTCTTGTTTCATTTTACGTCCACAGCCTAGCCCGACAGTTAGAACCGTCTGAGGGGTCCTCAGGTCTAAGCCTGGGACAAATAGGGCCTGGGCCCATAAGGCCTTGCCTTTTTTCTATTTTTATAAACGATAGAGGTGGTAGGCTTTCTCTTTTTTTTAGGGTTTAGAGTATTTTTACTTTTTTTATTATTATTTATTATTTGATTTTTATTTTGATTTGATTTTATTTATTTTGATTTGATTTGATTTGGTTTGATTTTGATTTGATTTTGATTTTGAAATTACGCACTATAGACAAGAAAAGAAACACCAAGAAGTACGTTTGATTTTTACTTGTGATTACCAAATTCATTACTTTAATCTTGCTCGGACCGTGACCTTTTCCATATGGCCGATAATGCCTCCATTGGTCAGCAGAGACCATCGCATCATCATCGCCTAAAGGAGAACGAAGAGGCAGCAGCAAGCCCTTCTCGTAGCACCACACCAACCAAGGAGAGCGACGCATTCGTCAGGCGCCGCCCATTCATTTCGTTCGATCAGGATTGGAGCAAAAAAAAAAAAAAGATATATAGCAGGGATAATCAGGCAATGTTGAGCCCAATGAACACGGCGACACGTCACAGCTTCAGTCAAGAGTCTCCATGTTTGTAGACGGAATGGACCAACATGTTCGGACCTGATGCCAAATATTCGTCGTCTTAGGGCATGTTTAGATCCATTATCACTATTAATTAGTAGGAGACTCTTGACTGACATGCCAACATGTTCGGAATGGACCAACACGCAGGTTTTAAGTTGAAAGATGTATATGAATTATTATTAGCACCTATTGGCAACTTTAAACCTGCTAATAGAACTAATTGTTAGTAGCCCTTCATCAACTAATAATTAGTAGGTTACTAGCAGGTTTATTTGGATCCACTAATACTAATTTTAGTTGCTATTTTTTTGGAATAAATCCTAAATCCAAACAGGCCCTTAGTCTAGCTAGCAGAGGTCGTTTTGGGAGAGTTGTTATAACTTAGCTGCTGTTTGGATCGGCAATTGGAACAACAACGTTAATGTAAATGAGTAACGGTGGGATCTGTTACAGTGCAAGAGAATGCAGGATTTGGCCCTGTCCGTTTCGTTGAAATTTGGCTTATGCTGATTTGTTTTGAGAGGAAAACACTGTTTGTTCGCTGAAAAGTACTGCTGGCACAACATGACCATAGTTGGCTTCTTACAGTTCGGTCCAACCAAACGCCAAGAAAAGGAACTTATTAGCGCTGTGAACCGAACCAACAAAACAGGCCTTTTGGCCCCAAACAAACAGCACCCGTACGAGATCGTGTTTACATACCTACGAACTTAGCCTCTTCAAGTGTATCTGATATATATAATAATTTTTTTTGGGTGCGTCAACTCTCTGTTCATGTATTTTATTATAATATACATGATATGTATATGTATTTATTTATACAATAATAAATACCTATACTTTGTGCAAGTGATACGAGATAATACGAAAGATTTTTCTCATTTTTTCTTGATTTTCTCAAGATTCTTGATATAGTAGAAAAGAAAATCTCTATGTATCTCTTACAAGCAGCTGTTGCTGTTCGACAGTTAGAAAAGAACACGAAATGACTCGGTACAGACTATCACATTATATATTAGAGAGAAAATCTGGAGAAGCCGCCGGCAGGTCAAACCTGACGGTCGTCCTTCTGGACAACATACATACAGTACGTGTGCTTCCTCTCTCGTTTTTGTCTGCGTTTCTTCGTCAGACTCGTTACCGCGACAGCAGCATGTGGAATTAATCGGTCTGCCCGACCAATCACAGCAACTAGTACGAAATAAAGCCTATATATAAGTTTCCAAGTCCCATTACCGTCACTGTACTAATCCCCACAAAACTTTAGCCCAGCTGCTTGCATTGCTTCCTACTAGCTCAGTTCCTCTCAGGAGGTAGCAATGGGGCGTGCCAGGCCGCTCCTCGAGCTGGCGTCTCTGTGCGCCGCTGCCGCCGCCGCAGGTGAGTCGCGCGAAGGCGTGACGGTTATTAGCCTCGCCGATGGCCCGTTCAGTTCAGGCGCGCCCCGCCGTCCGTGTCTCCAATCCGTCGCCTCCCTCTCAGGTGTTGGATGGCAGACACAGACGGCGTGTGCGGCAACGTGAGCTGCGGGATGGGGACGTGCAGCGAGTCCAGCGTGCCAGTGCAAGCCCGGCTGGAGCCGCTATCACCTCGCCGCCGTACAGTTCCCCTTCCTCCCCTGCGTCATCCCAAACTGTAAGAACAAGACTCCAATGATTCTGCGCATCATCGATATCTCTGCCTCTGCCTCCATGCGCGCCCACTCGGCGGCACGGCCGACGATGGGTTGTCACCAACCTCAGCTCTGGCGGCGTTCCATCAGGATCAGCACGGCCGGACACCGGCCGGGGAACACTCCAGGAGGATCGGAGTTGGGACCAAGTCCGTCATGGCATGCTGCAAAAAGTCCGTCTTCGCATGGAGGCACCATCCACTCGTCGTGCCAGGACGGGTCGCCGTCGTCGTCCCCGGCGCCGGCTCCATCGCCGCCGCCACCGCCAGCGGTGCTGCCGCCGCTAATCACCTTCGATCGTACGCAACAGCTCCCTCCAGCCCGGAAACTGTCATTTATACACTACGTACCACAAGATGTTGCAGTACGTCGCGCAATGCCGGCCACCTGAACTAACTAATGGCGTCTGCTGCTTCCTGTTACATACCAGCGTGCCTGATGCAGTACTGCGGCGACGGCGGCACCTGCGAGAAGGCGTCCGACTTCACCCACCGCTGCAGCTGCCGCGACGGCTACGCCAACCTCCTCAACGACACCTCCTACCCGTGCTACCAACACTGTACGCAACCATATCCTCTCCCTCTGAAACTTAAGCCTCTGATTGCAGCTGCAGAGCGAACCAACAAGTGAGTCGACTGACGACGCCGGCTCGCCGGTGCCTGGTGTTTCGATCGGTGCTGCTGCAGGTTCGCTGGGCTCGGACTGCAAGGGGCTAGGGATCGACGTGATCAACGGGTCCACGCCGAGCTCGTCGCCGCCTGCACCCTTCTCCTTCACCGTCAAGAAGTCCGGCGCCGGAGCTGCTGCCGCGGCGCCTGCTGACACGCTCCTCGGGCTGCTCTTGCTGCTCACCTTCTACGGGCTGTCAGGACTAAGGAACGGGACAAAAGAAAGCACTGCTGCGAGAATCCAGACACAGTTTTCACGCAATTTTTATTTCTATTTCTACTCCAGGATATTTCCTACATGTAGCCTTGACCATCAAGAGCCGTAGAGTACCATTTTTTCCATCGGGTTACTAGAGCGTGTATAAACTTAAACGTTCTAGCAGAGGAATAAATTGAAGCAGCTATACTAGTGTCATATCCTCTGCTGCTCTGAAGTGCGTTGAAGACTTGAAGAACTAGATGAAAGCGATAATCAACAGAGCAGAGGCAGGAACAACCCCCTGCACGCAGAGCAAGATGCAACAGAGCATAGTGAGTAATCTCGGATCTCCATTAAAGGTTTCAGATCCAGCAGCATCATACCATAACAGTCACAGCTATCAGGTGCCGAAGAACGATCAATCTCATGGTCTACGATTATCTATCGCTATTAGGGCGATGCCATATACGATATATGTACTATAATACTATGTCTCAGCTAGAGGGTGGCGAGCCAATTACAGATCAGTTCTCCAGCTCTGTAGGACTGCATGTAATGCTATTGGTTCTTACTACTAGTATATTAGGATAATGTGAGGCTATGTGATGTGATCCACGATGTACCAGACGGGTGAGGCGTCAAGGGGAGGGGGTCAGGCGAGGCTGGCAGTCGATCACTGGCAGGAGAGCGACATCTGGGCCATGAAGAGGTTGATGACGTCCAGGTAGAGGGAGATGGCGGCGACCACGAACTCGTTGTAGGTGTGGCGCTTGAGCAGCATGTGGGTGTCGTAGACGATGAAGCCCGAGAACACCAGGGTGGCCAGGAACCCGTAGATGGTCATGGCCACCCTTCCCAGCGGGAAGCAGATCTGCAGTGGATCAACATTAGACCGCGAACCAAACATGTGTGACACGGGAGGGCACGTATATTGAGAGGAAGAGGAAGGAAGACGGGCGAACCTGGATGGTGATGTACACCAGAAGCACGAGGAGGCTGGTGAACAGGAATGGGAAGGTGAAGCTGAAGTCGTAGCCCCTCTTGACGGCCCAGAAAGTGAACAGGGTCAGCCCCACAACAGCAGCAGCTGTCAGGATGGTGGCCTGCAGAACCACTGTGCCTGTTGACATAATAACATGAGCATTGTAGTATTTCATTAGATACCAGAATTAAGAAACACAGGATCAGATTCCATTACTAAAAGCAACGAAATTACAAAGTTTTTTTAAGAAAGGACCCAGCCAGCCTCCCTATACCAATTGATAACAGGCACACAAACGAAATAAATAGCAATGTTCTCATCAGAAAGCAACTATATAACATAGGATTAAAGCATTTTTTCAAGATAGTCATGAAGTAACAAGGAACAAATAAACTATCACAAAGCCAACAAGGTTGATTAACACAAAAGCCAAATTAACACCAGATTCTACCACATATATTTTAAAATAAATATACAGCATTGGGTACGCCCTTTATATAAATTACACCATACTTTAAAAAATCAGATTAACACTTGATTTAGATTTGTACTGAACCGTGGGCTACACAATATCAATTATTGCTTTATTCTTGGCAACACGTCTGATTTCTAAGCTGGCATATTAAATTGATGCATGCAAAGGTGTGCGGATACTCAAAAACAAGATACGAAGGTTAAAAACTTGCTTGAAAAAGCCATATCACAGATTCTCCTCAAATATTGCACAATAATTCAAACTCATTCTATAGCTACAAAAAAAGGTGAATTGGTGTGTGTGCCAGTTTTGACTTCCAAAACAAAATCCAATCCAATTCTATCAAACTTGCATAGTTGCATACAGTCAAAATTTATGAAAAATTCCTTCAGCATGTTACATCAAACCTAGTTCTGTATATAACATTGTAGAAACTGTTCATAAATAAAACGGAAAACCATTTGCACAGACATAAAGAGGCCCCTAATGCAGGGATTGTGCATTATGGCGTGGTGACACAGGATCCACTACAAAAAGTTGACCCCAAGCACCCCCCTAACACAGCCAGCAACTTAAAACAGGGGAAATTATAATCGAAGCTTCCAGAGGCCATGGCATGAAAACCGTATCCTGAATTCTCACAGGGAACAATACTTTTAAGAATCTCAAACATATGATGACTTCCCCAGAACGGTGGAGGATCACAGATCCATGACGATTCACACCCACGAGAACTGTATCCATACCACTACTATAAATACCAGACCGGAATTAAGCAGATGACTCATATACTAGGTCCCAAAAACTACCAGAATTTCACCACACGCTGCATTCCAATTTCATCCATCCACATCACAACAGGAAACAAACAACACGAGAGGGAGATGAGGAGGGATCAATTGCCCATACCGAGAGTGGTGGACGCGGACACGGCGATGCTGAGGCTGCAGCAGAGCGTGAACAAGGCGAGCAGGACGAGGTTCCTGGGGTGTTTCTCCCTATACTTGAGCATGGGGAACATGACTGCACAAACAAACCAAACCAAACCAAACAAACAAAACCGCGGTTATGATCCAAACCCTAGGAACGGAAGGAGGGAAGGCGGGATGGAAACGCGCGCACCGATGAACGGGGAAACGAGGATGACGATGAACGTGGGCCAGACGGCGGCGGGGGGTCCGTAGGCGAAGAAGCGCGGGATGGGGTGGACGAGGCACGCGACGGCCGCGACCGCCGCCGTGAAGGCGAACTGCAGGGACAGGATGCTGTAGACCTTCCGCACGAACGCCCAGCGCAGCCGCGGGTCCTCCTCCTCCGCCACCTTCTTCGCCGCGGAAGCCTGCTGCTCCGCCGCCGCCGTCTTCGGCTCCGCCGCCGTGTTGGGCTTCGCCGCCGCCGCCGCAGGGGCCGCGGGCACGGCCGCCTCCAGGTCGCGGGCCGCCGGGGGAGTCTTCATTGCGCTCGGTCGCCGGTGGCCGATCGCCTCGCTCGCTAGGGTTTGGTGCGCGGTGGGGTTTTCGATGAGGCAGGGGAGTGGCGGTGGGCGAGACTGCGAAGCAGAGGAAGCCGGTGGGGGGAAAGAAGCGGCGCTATAAAGCCCGGGCGCGTGTCACCGACGCGTGGGCCCCGGGGTTGCGGACCCGCGTGTCAGGGAGCCGCGTCTCCTCTCCCTCTCCCCTCGGGGGTTTCCAGTTGCCGCGGCGGTGGAGAGGGACCCGCGCTTGCGGTTGCCGACGCGTGTCGACGGGCTACGGGTGGGACTCCCGGTCACGAGCGCGTCGCGTTGCGGGTCTCCGAAGACTGGTGGGGCCACGCGCTGACCTGGGACCCACGGTCAGCGGGACGAGTGGACGCGGTGATGTAGGCAGAGGACTGCTCTGATTCGATCGGGGCGGGCAGGTGGGCCACAGCGGTGCTATCCGGGGCCGCGTGTCATTGGCGGCGAAAAGGGAAAGTTGGTAGCTGTGGGGTCCGCGAAGCACATGCTTCCGCGATGTGGACTTTGGACGCGACGAGTGGCCGGGACGGGTGGCTCAAGTTGCTACCGCTGCCGATCCACCGGCTGTTTCGGTTGCATGGCGTACCACCGCACAACGAACATGATGAAAAGCTCTTTGTGAGCAGGATTGATCAAATCACCGTTCATTGAGCACAGCAAAAAAATAAAAAGAATACAAACACGCGTTCGTTTTTGTTTTCCTTTTATTTTTCCTTCTTTCTTTTTTTACAGCAACAACTTTGAATATATAACGTTAAAACACAGTACGTCAGTGCGGGAAAAGAATTCCCATATTACAGAGCACAGACAAGTAAAAGTTATTGCTGATCTGCTTCTGTAGACATAGGTGATGCTTCCGTCGGGAGCGCGGGGCCCGTCAGGGCCACAGGGTCCACGAGAATTGATCACGATAGAAGCAACGAGAGTCCTCGTTCTCGTACTCCGATAACACAGTCGGCGCTCCCGTCGACTGTCTGATCAGCCTGTGTCTTCGAAAATAAGCAATCTTGGGCCGTAAATAAGTTGGAGGCTTTACCGGGCTGAAGAAAATGGATCTACAACCATCAGCGTCAAATCTGAGAACCTACATCAACTGACATTAGCGGTCACCGAATAACTGATTTACCACTTTCATGTCTGCAAAAAAAAAAAACAGATTGACAGAAAAAATAGGTTTGCTCTGCCTGGTGAGCACACCCGACGTCCGAACCATAACCTTGCTCTGCATGCTTCACACGGCATGCAAAATGAGTCATGGCACGTGTCACCGTGGGAGATCGGAGGAGGGCACCATTTGCTCCTGCATGCAGAACGCGTTGCGTTGGCGGGCCCCGAAGCACAGGAGGTGGGCCCGAGCATGTAGCACAGGGGCGGGCTGCATCACCACTTCGACCACGCGGAGGGAGAGGTCCACGATGGGCCACATAGACGGGCCGCACGCCACACCTCCCTTCCGCATCGAGAAGTCGCCCGCCTCCAATAGCGCCACGCAAGGCGGCAGCGCGTCGTGGGCTGCCGCGGAGCTTGTCGTCGTTGCCGGGGAAGAGGGGCGCGGAGCCGCCGCCTGCGGCTCCCGCACCGGTCTCCGCTCTGGACCATCCGCGGAGGAGGAAGGAAGCCCGGTGGCTTCCCTTCAGTCCGCCGCCAAGTCGTAGTCGTCGCCGTCCTTCGGTAGTTTTTCGCCGAACTCCGAACCGCCATATGCCTCGTGGCCGCGCCGTGCGTGGCAACGGCGCAGGGACACAGCAGACGAGCCCAGGACCGACGAAGGCGTTAGGTCCTCCTCATCCTCACGCCGTGGGTCAAAGACGCCGGTGTTGATGATGCTGTTGGTAACCGTGCTTCCTCCTTGGCTCGAGATGAACGGGAGCAGCACCATGCAGCCCACACATCCATGGAGCGGGGAAGGTAGGAACACGGGAGAACAAAAGGGCTTTATTGAAGTGCTCACCTCGTCGATTTGGAGGAAACTCCCGGTGGCCGCCATGGCCACGGCAGTCTCGCCCACCTCCAAAAAGACGATGGCGAGGAGGACAAGGGTCCTCAGAACACCCATCAAGGGTCCTTATTCCACTAGGGAACTTTACAAGGAGGGAGGGAGGGGAGAAGGGGAACCGGCCCACCTGCCTTGTCGCCGGTGAACACGCCGGGGAAGAAGGCAGGGGGCCGGCCGCGGGACTCTCACTCGGAGGCTCTCTACTCGCCCACTCAATGAGGTACCGGTTGATTGGACGCGGAAAGAGGAGAGTTATTTTTCCTTCTTTGTTCGTGGTTTGGGTGCAGGATATCCATGGCACGTGACGTGTGTTTGGAACGGCCAAGAATTCCAAGGCAGATATGTGTTATCTGCCTCCGTGAGAGTCGGTCCGGAGAAAAAAATTAAACTCAGGATAGTGTGACCATAGTCCATAATAGCATAGCTTCATTACAAATTAAACTAGTCCGTGTTTGGAACCACGGTGCGGCAGACACGCGGTGCGATACCCAAAACTCAGCTGGTACCCCGGTACCCGAGAACCACGAATGATAGTGTGTTCTCACGGTCGATGTCTAGCATAGCTTTATTAGAAATTAAACAAGTTCGTATTTAGAACCACGGCGTGGTGGGTACGTGGTGCGATACCCAAAACGCAGCCAGTAGCCCGGGACACGAGAACCACGAATGATAGTGTGTTCTCACGATCCATCTGTAGCATAGCTTTATTAGAAATTAAACTAAGCCCGTGTTTGGAACCGCGACGTGGCGTGCAGGCGGTGGGATACCCAAAACGCGGGCGGTAGTCTGGGACACGAGGATCACGAGTGATAGTGTGCTCTCGCGGTTGGTGTCTAGCATAGCTTTAATAGAAATTAAACTAGTCCGTGTTTGGATCCGTGGCATGGTGGGCACGCAATGCGATACCCAAAACGCGACAGATAGCCCGGGACACGAGAATCACGAATGATAGTGTGTTATTGCGGTCGGTGTCTAGCATAGCTTTATTAGAAATTAAACTAGTCCGAGTTTCGAACCGCGGTGTGATATACCCAAAACATGGCCAGTAGCCCACACACTAGAATCACCAAAGATAGTGTGTTCTCGTGGTCAATGTCTTGCATAGCTTTATTAGAAATTAAACTAGTTTGTGTCTGGAACCGCGACATGGCGGGCACACGGTGCGATACCCAGAACGTGGCCGATAACCTGGGACACGAGAATCATCACAAATGATAGTAGTGTGTGTTCTCGTGGTCGGTGTCTAGCATAGTTTTATTAGAAATTAAACTAGTCTGTGTTTTGAACCGCGGCGTGGCGGGCATGTGGTGCGATACCCAAAACGCAGCCGGTAGCCCGAGACATGAGAACCACGAATGATAGTGTGTTCTCACAGTCGATCTCTAGCATAGCTTTATTAGAAATTAAACTAAGCCCGTGTTTGGAAACGTGACATGGCGTGCACGTGGTGGGATACCCAAAAAGCGGGCGGTAGTCCGGGACACGAGAATCACAACTGATAGTGTGCTCTCACGGTCGGTGTTTAGAATAGCTTTAATAGAAATTAAACTAGTCCGTGTTTGGATCCGTGGCGTGGCGGGCACACGATGCGATACCCAAAACATGGCCGATAGCCCGGGAGACGAGAATCATGAATGATAGTGTGTTCTTGTGGTCGGCGTCTAGCACAGCTTTATTAGAAATTAAACTAGTCCGTGTTTCGGACCGTGGTGCCGCGGGCACGCGGTGCGATATACCCAAAACGTGGTCAGTAGCCCCAGACACGAGAATCACGAATGATAGTGTGTTCTCGCGGTCAGTGTCTTGCATAGCTTTATTAGAAATTAAACTAGTTTGTGTCTGGAAGCGCGACATGGCGGGCACGCGGTGCGATACCCAGAATGTGGCCGGTAACCTATGTGTTCTCGCGGTCGGTGTCTAGCATAGCTTTATTAGAAATTAAACTAGTCTGTGTTTCGAACCACGGCGTGGCGGGCACGTGGTGCGATACCCAAAACGCAGCCGGTAGCCCAGGACACGAGAACCACGAATGATAGTGTGTTCTCACAGTCGATCTCTAGCATAGCTTTAGTAGAAATTAAACTAAGCTCGTGTTTGGAACCGCGACGTGGCGTGCACGCGGTGGGATACCCAAAACACGGGCGGTAGTCCGGGACACGAGAATCACGAATGATAGTGTGCTCTCGCGGTCGGTGTCTAGAATAGATTTAACAGAAATTAAACTATTCCGTGATTAGATCCGTGGCATGGCGGGCACGCGATGCGATACCCAAAACGCGGCCGATAGCCCGGGACACGAGAATCATGAATGATAGTGTGTTCTTGCGGTCGGCGTCTAGAATAGCTTTATTAGAAATTAAACTAGTCCGTGTTTCGGACTGCGGTGCGGTGGGCACGTGGTGCGATATACCCAAAACGTGGCCAGTAGCCCCAGACACTAGAATCACAAATGATAGTGTGTTCTCGCGGCCAGTGTCTTGCATAGCTTTATTAGAAATTAAACTAGTTTGTGTCTGGAACCGCGACATGGCGGGCACGTGGTGCGATACCCAGAACGTGGCCGGTAACCTGGGACACGAGAATCAAAAATGATAGTAGTGTGTTTTCTCGTGGTCGGTGTCTAGCATAGCTTTATTAGAAATTAAACTAGTCTGTGTTTCGAACCGCGGCGTGGCGGGCATGTGGTGCGATACCTGGCCAAAACACGGCCGATAGCCCGGGGACGCAAGAATCACGAATGATAGTGTGTTGCACGCGGTCTGTGTCTAGCATAGCTTTATTAGAAATTAAACTAGTCCGTGTTTGGAACCACGTGGTGTGGCGGACACGCGGTGCAATACCCAAAACGCGGCCGATAGCCCGGGACATGCAAATAACGAATGATAGTGTGTTCTCGCGGTCGGTGTCTAGCATAGCTTTATTAGAAATTAAACTAGTCCATGTTTGGAACCGCGGCGTGACGGGCACGAGAGGCGATATCCAAAACGCGGGCGATAGCCCGGACATGAGAATCACGAAAGGTAGTTTGTTCTCGTGGTCTGTGTCTAGCATAGCTCTTTATTAGAGATTAAATAAACTAGTCCGTGTTTGGAACCACAACGTGGCGGGTACACGGTGCGATACCCAAACGCGGGCGATAGCCCGGGACATGAGAATCACGAATGGTAGTGTGTTCTCGCGGTCGGTGTCTAGCATAGCTTTATTAGGGATTAAATAAACTAGTCCGTGTTTGGAACCGCGATGTGGCGGACACACGGTACGATACCCAAAGCACGGCCGATAGTCCGGGACACGGGAATCACGAATGATAGTGTGTTTTCGCGGTCGGTGTCTAGCATAGCTTTAGTAGAAATTAAACTAGTCCGTGTTTGGAACCGCGGTGCGGCAGGCATGCGGTGCGATACCCAGAACGCGGCCGATTGCCCGGGACACGAGAATCACGAATGATAGTGTGTTCTCGCGGCCGGTGTCTATTGCGGTTGAGAAAATTATCGGTAATATGGAGCTTTTGCCGCGATTATTACGTTTCTCACGGTTGGCGATCTAGGAATCCGATTATAATCGGTACCAAACACACCTTAACATAATAGTGGTAGAATTGGGAGTATAAGTGGTGCCAATGTAAAGAAGCTAATCTTGTATTGGGTGAAACTAGACCGTGTCCTCACTCACCGTCGAGTCGTCGACTCCCTGTGGCACCGCCTCCGGTGGCCGGGCACCTGCACGTGGACTCCCTGTGGCACTGCATCCGGTCACTTGTAGCTGTGGAGATCTAGGACCTCCTTCTTCCTCAACCTCAAGTCTAGCTCCCCCCTCGCCAAGTTCTTCCTTATCATTACCCCCGGCACTACCGATTTCCCTCTGAAGTGATGAAGATAGAAGCGTAGGCACCTCCGCCTGCTCCATCTCCCCTCCATAGGGCCCTACTACCCCTCCACATCCACTTTGATGCTCGTGCATGTGCATGTTCGAAGTGTGTGTGTGCACATCCGAAAAATAAATTGGCACTTGACGTGTCCCTAGATTTGAACTAGCAATTTCATGTACGTGTAAGCAATAGATTTGACATACCTAACCCATCTATAGTTAGATTTGATATTGATACATTCTAGCAACTCAATATCTATACAGATGATATTCAGACATCGTACACAGCGAAGGATGGGCACACCGACGTGTGGCTAGATTCTAACTAGCAATTTCATCTACGCCTAAACAATATAGGTAGATTTGATACCTAACTCATCTATAGTTAAGATTTGAGATATTGATTGATACGTACGTACATTGTAGCAGCTCAATATATCTATCCAGATGATTCAGACATGCGCACGGCACGAAATTTAGTTAACCGTCTAATGCATACAAATGATGGGCACGTGCGAAGAAATTGCAGACGACAGAGAAGAAGAAAAAAAGACGTACATACGAACACTAGCTTTACTACCTTACTAAATTTTGTGCAAACATTCTGCTGTACGCGTTGTTTGCAATGCGACAGTAGGCCTGCCGCGATCGAAGATTGCCCTGTTCGGCTTATAAGCGAATAGGACGGATGTCTGCAGGCGCATGTGCACTACACGCGCCACCCCCCCCCCCCATGCACCACACACACACGCGCGCGCGCAGCTGAGATAGCGTGTGCATGCACGCATGCGACCATTCATGGGAGACCTGTATCGATCATGCCTCCAAGAGACCACCAACCCACCTCATCTCTTGAAGATGAAGACAGACAGACGGCCGGGTTGTTCACAGCTAGCATCACAGTTCCCACAACATGCAGGTGATAGCGTGTGTGTGCATCTAGTCTATGCAAGCTCGCTTGATATCCATGGAACGCGCGACTGACTTCCCTGCATTGCTCGATCGGCACATGTATATAGTTTCCATTTCCGTTATTATTCTCAGCGTCTCGGCAAGTCGCCATGCATGGAATGGTGGAAGCACACGGCCCCACCCTCCCACGACCTCCACTCCAATAACGACAAGATAATTTTATAATTGACTTCACGTAGTTACTCAGCATGCTGCTGTTGTAAAGTCAAAATTGCAACGAT